ACTATAAGACATAAAATGTTACTCGTGAAGAGAGTGTTTCTTTGTTCAAGTAGATATATGAGACTAAATAGGCAGCTCCTGTCCAGAGGCGAGATGAGAAGGCAGAGAGGGTCAGGAGTGGGTTGAATGGACACGGGAAATCTGGGGTGGAAAGGAAGAGTGTGCTGTGAGAGCAACTAGGGTCACAAAACAATGTATGTATAAATTTTTCTATGAGAGACTAACTTGAATTGTAAACTTTCACTTAAAGCACAACAACAATAAATAAATAAATAATTCATGTTGCAAAATAGCTTTCGGTATAGGTTGTATACATCAAATGTCCCTAAACCAGGAATTCCCAACCACCTTACCAATTAGACAATCAGACATTGCTCATAATATACCGTCTTTATTATGTATATATGGCCCCTGGGTGGCACAAATGGTTTGCACTTGACTACTAACCTAAAGGTTGGCGGTTTGAATCCACTCAGAGGTGCCACAGAAGAAAGTCCTGGCAATCTGCTTCTGTAAAGATTAAAACCAAAAAACCTGTGGCCGCCGAGTCGATTCCAACTCATAGCGACCCTGTAGGACAGAGCAGAACTGCCCCATTGAGTTTCCAAGGAGTGGCTGGTGGATTTCAACTGCCAGCCTTTTGGTTAGCAGCCGTAGCTCTTAACCACGGGGCAACCAGGGCTACAATATGCAAGATAGGTGTGAGTAAAAAATGTTAACAATGTAACAGAACACCCATGGTTATTCTTGGCATGACAAAAGCATCTTCTACATATCGCTTATCAAATTGTTTCCGATTATTTCCCCATTCCTATTAACATCACTTCATCCAAGCCTTTTCACCATAAAATGGTGATAAATTTAAACATCTTCCAAAGTGACCTTCCTCGCTATAATCTGTTTTCTCTAATCTAAACCCCAAAACCAAACCTATTGCCATCAAGTAGATACTAACTCATAGAAACCCTATGAGATAGTTGTCTAATCCAGTGCTTCCCAAATTTAGTGTGTACATGAATTGCCCACCACCGTTTGTCTGTCAGTTTGTCGTGCTGTGGTGGCTTTCATGTTGCTGTGATGCTGGAAGCTACACAACTAGTATTTCAAATACCAGCAGGGTCACCCATGGAGGACAGTTTTCAGCGGAGCTTCCAGACTAAGACAGACTGGGAAGAAGGACCTGGTTCTCTACTTAAAAAAAAAAAAAAAAAGGCCAGTGATAACCTTATGAATAGCAGCAGAACATTGCCTACGATAGTGCTGGAAGATGAGCCCCTTAGGTTGGAAGGCACTCAAAATACAACTGGAGAAGAGCTGCCTCCTCAAAGTAGAGTCGACCTTAATGACACAGATGGAGTAAAGTTTTGGGGATCTTCATTTACTGATGTGGCATGACTCAAAATGAGAAGAAACAGCTAAAAACATCCATTAATAATCATAGTGTGGAATGTACAAAGTATGAATCTAGGAAAATTGGAAGTCACCAAAAATGAAATGGAACGCTTGAAGATCGATACCCTAGGCATTAGTGAGCTGAAATGGACTGGTATTGGTCATGTTGAATCAGACAGTCATATGGTCTACTATGCTGGGAATGACAAATTGAAGACGAATGGCATTGCGTCCGTCATCAAAAAGAACATTTCAAGATCTGTCCTGAAGTACAATGCTGCCAGTGATAGGATAATATCCACATGCCTACAAGGAAGACCAGTTAATACGACTGTTATTCAAATTTACACACCAACCACTAATGCCAAAGATGAAGAAACTGAAGATTTTTAGAAACATCTGCAGCCTGAAATTAAACATGCAATCAAGATGCATTGATAATTACTGGTGATTGGAATGTGAAAGTTGGAAATAAAGAAGGATCAGTAGTTGGAAAATATGGCATTGGTGATAGAAACGACACCAGAGATCACATGATAGAATACTGAAGACCAACGACTTATTCATTGCAAATACCTTTTTTCAACAACGTTAACAGTGACCACACACGTGGACATCGCTGGAAAGAATACACAGGAATCAAATCAACTAAATCTGTGGGAAGAGATGATGGAGAAGCTCAACATTATCAGTCAGAACAAGGCCAGGGGCCGACTGTGGGACAGACCACAAGTTGAAGCTGAAGAAAATTAAAACTAGTCCACAAGAGTCAAAGTATGATCTTGAGTATGTCCCACCTGAATTTAGAGACCATCTCAAGAATAGATTTCATGTATTGAACACTAACGACCGAAGGCCAGAGTTGTGGGATGACATCAAGGACATCATACATGAAGAAAGCAAAAAGTCATTAAGAAGAAAAGACCAAAATGAGTATCAGAAGAGACTCTGCAACTTGCTGTTGAACATAGAATAGCTAAAGTAAATTGAAGAAATGATGATGTAAAAGAGGTGAACAGAAAATTTCAAAGGACAGCTCAAGAAGACAAAGAAAATTATTATAATGAAATGTGCAAAGGCCTAGAGTTAGAAAACCAGAAGAGACGAATACGCTCGGTATTTCTCAAGCTGAAAGGGGTTTAAAATCAGGAAGGGTGTGCGTCACCATATTTATTCAACCTGTATGCCGAGCAAATAATTCAAGAAGCTGGACTATATTAGGAAAACTCAGCATCAGGATTGGAGGAAGACTCATTAACAACCTGTGATATGCAGATGACACGACCTTGCTTGCTGAAAGTGAAGGGGACTTGAAGCACTTACTGATGAAGATCAAAGACTACAAACTTCAGTGTGGATTACACCTCAACATAAAGAAAACAAAGTTCCTCACAATTGGACCAATAAGCAACATCATGATAAATGGAGAAAAGATTGCAGGATTTCATTTTATGTGGATCCACAATCAACACCCATGGAAGCAGCAGTCAAGAAGGCGAACAACATATTATACTGGGCAAACCCGCTGCAAAAGACCTCTTTAAAGTGTTAATAAGCAAAGATATCACTTCGAGGGCTAAGGTGTGCCTGACTCAAGTCATGGTATTTTCAATCATCTCATATGCATGTGAAAGCTGGACAATGAATAAGGAAGACCGAAGAATTGATGCATTTGGGTAATGGTGTTGGTGAAGAATATTGAACATACCATGGACTGCCAGAAGAACGAACAAGTCTGCCTTGGAAGAAGTATAGCCAGAATGTTCCTTAGAAGCAAGGCTGGGGAGTCTTTGTCTCACATACTTTGGACATGTTAACAAGAGGGATCAGTCCCTGGAGAAGGACATCGTACTTGGTAGAGAGTCAGCAAAAAAGAGGAAGACCCTCAACAAGATGGACTGAGAAAGTGGCTGCGACCATGGGCTCAAACTTAGCAACGATTGTGAGTGGGTTAGGACTGGACAGTGTTTCGTTCTGTTGTACATAGGGTTGCTATGTTGGAGGTGACTTGATGACAGCTAAGAACAACAAACCATGAATTGCCCAGGGGTCTTTTAAAAATAAAGGTGAGAATGTTTGCACAAGAATATTATCAATATCATTGAGTTGTATATGCAGAAATCGTTGAAATGGTGTATGACTGTGTATTTTCAACAAAAAAAAAAAAAAAAAATTCAGGTTCTGATTTAGAGGCTCTGGGGTAGAGTTTGAAATTGTTCATTTATAACAAGCTTCCAGCCATACTTTTGAGTAACAAAGCTCTAAACCATTCTGCAAGAAGCCGCTGACATACTACTCTTCCTAAAATACTTTTCTTGTGTTACCTTCTCAGGAATCTACATTAACTCAGTGTGTGATATATAAACTCATCACACTCAATTATGGGCCCAGAACTTCATTCTGGCCCAATCTGATCTTTCTCCTAACTGCTATACTCATTCCCATCCTGTCCCCCTTCCTTTGGGAGGTAAAATTTATATATGTGAAGTACAGATTTTAAATACACAATTTAATGAGTCTGATAAATGTACACACCCATGTAACCACCACTCCAAAAAAGATACAGAACATTGCCATCACACCTACCGTGAGCTTGGACCCAATTTTGTAAATGCCCTTCCACCTTGTCACTGCCTTCCACCTGTCCTTTAAGACTCTACTAAAGCCATTCTTTCTTCAAACATACCCTAAATTGACTTGCATGCTTCCATCTAAATTATACCACTTTTAAGACCCAGTCATTACCGCCTCTCACCGAATTACTGCAGCAGACTCTTCTATCTCTATACTTGCCCTCCCCCTGCCCCAATATATTATCCTTGACTAGCTAGAGTGATATTTTAATATCATAAATCAAATCAGGTCACTCCCCAGCTTAAAACCTGCCAATGGCTTACCATCACACTTGCAATAAATCCAAATGCCTCTCCCTGTGTCACAAAGCCACTACTTCTCAGACCGTATCTCTTGCTGCTTTCCCCATTACTCTCTATGCTCTGGTCATACTAGTCTTCTTTCTGCTCCTCCAACACAGTGAACCTTTCCCACCTTAGGGACTGCATTAACTATTCCCTCTGCTCTTCCCATCCTTTATATGACTTTTTTTTGTGTCATTCAGATCTCAACTTCAGAGTCATCTTTCTTACAGAGCCTTCCCTGACCACACAATCTAAAGTATCCCCTCAGTCACTCTCTAATACAAATCCTACTTTAATTCGCTACATAGCATCTATCATTGGTATGTATCTTATTTATGTGTTTGTTATTCGTCTCTTCTCAAAAGAACACAAGATCCATGACTATGATCTTGTCTACAGTGTTCATGGTTATAGCTCCAGCACCTACAACTGTGTCCAGCTCATTATCAGTAGATGCTCAATAAATGTTTGCTAAATAAATATGTTAATATCTGTATAATACATATTCATATTATGCAGATGGAAATTATGCGTGTCCCCAAATACTTGATCTCCCATTAAATTTCAAGAGAATAAGCAAGTTATTCCTAGTCATCAAACAAGATAACTCCTTCATAAGAAAGACAGGGAAGAAAAGAACTGAAGTTTTAACTTGGGACAAAAGAATATAAAACACAAATTAAGTCAAAGTTTAATTCACACAAAGTTTAATTAGTCAAGTTAAGGAAAATATCAAAACTTTTGAGTTAGTGTATGGCAGCATAAATTTAATTGTGTTGCAAATATACAGTATTTGGTGTTTCCATTATCAACAAACTATGCTGCAGAAAGGGCAATCGCATTAAATCTTAATTCATCAGGGTCACGTTCCATAAACTTCTTGCAAACTTCTATGGCATCCTGTAGAAAAAAAAAAATGTGTAACTTTTTAGTTTATACACATATATTAATGTACAAACAATAAATAAGCATTTAATATTTTTCTAATTCATACTAATTTGATACTGTACACTTGTTTTTTCAAATGAAAAATCATATAAACACTACCAAAAGAATGAAGAGTTGGTGACCTAGCAGGCTTAGTACAAAAGCATAAGATAACAGTAAGTGTTCTTTCTTGTATGTCCTAGCATCTAACCTGAAAATTACATATTTCATTGATTTTAAGCCACACATTATTTTAAAATCTCTAAAAGCATGGTCATCTTACAATTGATAGTCTCTTGGATTCAAGGAAATCTGGGATATGATGAGCAACCTTTTCAATGCTATTCTTGTCTTTTTCATATTTGATACCTGTTTACACTTTTGGCTCTGAAAATTTTCTCTTTATTTGATATCTTTAACAGTAATTCAAATTTTTCTAAAGACAAGGAAGCATACAAGTATACAGAAAATGTTATACAAGTGATCTTTAGAGATGTTTGAAAGATGATAAGAACATTAATAATACTTAAAGGAGGCCAACAAGTTTTATAACTTTACCTCTAATAAAGTCTCATCACTAGTTTTGCCATGGTTAATTGGAAATGGTTTCCGTCCATCTGTGGAAAATAAACATTAACAGTTGAATAGCTGTTTGTATAGGATAATATAGTTTCAACTTCCATTTTCCTCTTCGCACAGTGAGGCAAGTTAAAAGATATTTAAAATAATAGATCTTAAGGCAAATATTGGAAATGTGCCACCTATGAATGTTATTAATACTGAAGTATTAGAACTTTGCTTCCCTGCTTGAAAGCCTAAACTATCCTTATGAACAGAATTTATTAGAAATAAACAGTGGCTTTAATTTTCTGAAAAGAATATGCAAAATTAATAAGAATAGTTTAAAAAAAGGTTATGATCCTAATTTTTACCCTCAGAAATACAAAAATGTTCTTTCTTTATTTTAAAGGCTAAATCAGAAGGCTCTTAAGCAAGACTGAGCATGTTTACCCCAACAAAAGGGAGTCACAAAAAAACTGATTTATTACTACTACTAATTGTGTACCACCAAGGCAGTAGTATAGAGTGGCGATCTAATCAGCCTAGGATTACTTTACTGACCACCAAAAATAATCAAAATTACAATCACCTTGAATAATACTATGAAAAATTGAAAAGGCTCAGAATATAAACTAATGCTAACACAAAGCTAAGTGATACTCTATATCCAAACCTATAATCAATCTATAATCTTGGATGCCTTATAAGCAGCACTTTATTAAGTTTCCATAAAATACAACCCCTTCTGTAATTACATGGTTTCCAAACATAGTACAAGTTTTTTGCTAATCAGTAAGCACACAGTGATATAATGGATTGGTAGACACTATTTTTGGAGAAACATATGAGTGAAAATTAACACTAATATTCTCCATGGTTAAAAAGTCTTGTTGGTTAATATATTGTATGTTGTTATTGTTAGCTGCCATTGAGTCGGTCCTGACGCATGGTGACCTCGTGTTACATAGTAGAACGGCTCCACTGGATTTTCTTGGCTATAATCTTTATGGAAGCAGTTTGCCAGGTCTTTCCTTCCACAGACTCGCCGGGTTGGTTAAAACTACTAATCTTTAGGCTAGCTTTTTGTTGTTAAAGTTGCCACTGAGTTGATTCCAACTCACCAACTGCAAACCACTTGTGCCACCCAGGCTCCCTAAAATACTACACAGTAAACTGATATTAATATTTATAAATCATATCATCAGAATTTGTGATCCTCATTTTTGGACTAACACTGAGATAAATATTCAACATTCTAAAGAAACACATCCCTAAATTACAGTGTCTGGGACTTAATTCCTAAAGTTTTAAGAACCATAAAGGAGATACTCTTCTATAACTAAATATTATGCAGGAACAATTACTTATCCATATTTCTATAAATTTATATCTTTCTAAACTGCAATGTACATTTCTTGATAATGTGTCATAAAATATCTCCTTACAATATACTTTTGTGGCAGATGCTTATTCCTCAATAGCTTATTTATTCTATATTTATAGGAATCCATTATATTCATTATATACTGCCCTATTTAGTATTGTTTTATCTTTCAATTCTTACATAAAAGCAAGAGTATGTATATATGTACGTGTGTGTATATAAACAATGTAATTTTTTCCCTCCTTAACCAAATTCTAAATTAATATATATTTTTTCTGATTCATATAATTCATTTTTTAATATCATTCATTAGATTCTGATAGGTCATTCATTAGATTCTGGTAGGCTAATAAACCCTAAACCGAAACCCATTGCCGTCCAGTTGATTCCGACTCATAGCGACCCTACAGGACCGCAAAGAACTGACCCATAGGGTTTCCAAGGCTGTAATCTTTATGGAAGCAGACTACACATTTTTCTCCAGCAAACCCTAGTGAGTGATTTTCCTTTATAAGTAGGTGTCGTTTAAAGTAACATATAACTAATTTCAAACAACATTATTACAGACTATTAAACAATTGATCCTGAAATGTCAAAAGAATAGAAATCAAATAAAAACTATGTACTATTTGATCATGACGGCAGTTTAGAGCAAAGATTAATTAAGAATAATTTTTGTTATTCTAATCCAGGAATAGGCTAACTATAGCCCACAGACCAAATCCTGCCATTGGCCTGTTTTTGTACCAACCTTAAACTAATAATGTTTTTTTTAGGTTTTTAAAAGATTATTCAAAAAAAAAAAAAAAAGAGAGAGGGAAGAGAAGACAGACAGAGATAGTCTGTAGCCTGCAAACCCTAAAATATTTACTACCTGGCCCTTTACAGAAAAAAAAAAAAAATGCTAAAGAGAATAAGATTTGTAATCTGAAAGTTACAGCTGTTCCAACTACTACTACCTCAAAGCCATCATTTCCCAATAACTTAAGTTTAATTTAAGCAAACGCACATCCTGGAGAATAATCCATGAGGCTCAGAGACTTACACACACACACGGGCCTCTACTAAAAGAGGCAGGGAAAGCTGCACCTTGTGGATGGGTCATGTAACCCTGCAGCCTTGGTCAAAATGGGCTGTACCAGGTATAGCCTGAATAGAAAAGAAGATAGTAGCCTGTGAAGCAGTCTGTTTTTTTGATAGTGACTAACCAGTTAATTCAGATCTTGCCTTTTAGATAGCTCGATCACAAGACCCCAGAGAAAGCCATGGGCAGCAGAGTTGTGCAGAAGCAGAAAGATACCAAAACAGAACTTCTGTCAGCAGTTGGTACAGAAACACAAGTCTCAAGTATCATTAGACATCTGAGGACAGCCTATAAACAAACGATGGCTCTTAAAAATTGGGAACTATACAAAAATTTTAAATAGGAGAGAAAAGACAAGGAGTTCCAAAATCTAAACAATATGAGTTCAGAATAAGGAGAAACAGAAAAGAAACCCAAAGACTGAAAATTTCCCAGATCAAAAGATGGGAGTTTCCAGATTGAAAGGTCCCACTGAGGGTCCAAAATTATTGATAAAAACAGACCTCAACATACATTATAAAATGTCAGACGACTTCGGACAAAGAAAAGCTCCTAAATGTTTGTGAAGGGGGGTGGCAAAGAGGGGAACTAACAGATCACATGAAAAAACAATCAGGAATTATAACTTCAGACTTCTCAATAGCAACTCAGGAAGTTAAATACAATGCAGCAAAGCCATCAATATTATTTTCCAACCTAGAATTTTAGACACAGCCAAACTGTGCAAGGTCAAACATTCAAGGTCTCAAAAATTTTACTTCCTATTGTCCCTGGGCAGCCAAATTGTGTGGTGGAAAATGAATCTCATTCCACAGGCCAATTGCGTCCTGTGAAAATCTCAGCTTCCCTTCCCTGTTCAGTTCAGACCCCAGCTGCCCACACAGCCCTTCTTTCTCTCATTCCCAGCCACCTGGGGCTAAGTCAGCAGGTGCCAGCCACAAGCTTAGAAGTCCACATGACTCCCTCCACTTCAGACCTGCCAGCCCCCATTACTCCTTTGGGTCCTATAATATGCTAGAACAACTCCCAGAGCTCACAGGAAACACCATGCCTGAGATTAACAGCTTTAATATAACAAAAAATGATACAAATGAAGAGGCACACAGGACAACATCTGGTAGGAATCCATGTGGAGCCTCTATGTCCCAAGGGGATGTGCTCTGAACCAAGAAGCTCCATCTAAGCATCAGGGCTCAGGACTCTTAATGGCCTCACTAGATGGCCATGATAAATTATATCATGCCTGGTGAGGCTTAGTCAGCATCTGGCCCCCAGGTGAGCCTCTGTCCTTGGGACTCTCAGGAATCCAGAACAAAATGTCGAATTGCTTCCTGCATTTCACACCCCCTTAGGAAGCTTCTAGAGAAGGGACTCAAAACAGTGAGTGAGTAAAAAAAGAATGAGGGAGACATGGGATCCAGAAACAGGAGTTTCAACAGAGGAATGTGTTAAAGGGAATCCCTGGGATGGTGATAAAGGGACATCCCAAGATGACAAATGTGTTTAAGGCCTCAAGCACAATCTGCCCAGACTGGCACACACAAGAAGGTACTTGGGAGAGAGATCCCCAAGAAGACAAACTTAACAGAATGCCAGATGTTCCAATGTATTCAAAGGATATTTCGACCTATGGAGAGATTTTACCCGTTAAACAGATAAAAATATAAAATAAAATAACCAAACCAACCAAAGAGCAAAACAAGAGAATTATTAACTCTCGAGAAATAAAAAAGTTAAAAAGAAAATTCCAGTTGCGAGTCATGTTTCTGTGGTCATAATAATATAAACAACAACTCTAACTACACTGGGCGAACAAGAAAAAGAAAAGTGTGCGTGTTTTTTATCAGGAGTGAGGGGTAAACAAGGAGGGAGGCAAAGGGAAGCTAAATCCTTATCTTACATTATGGAAAGTCAAGAGATATTACTTAGGTGACTTCTAGTCATGATGAATAACTATTCTGAACTAGGCCTCTTCTATAAACAATTAGAAAACAGGACAAAATGTATGAAATAGCTATTGTTAGACGCTGGACAACAGGCAGCCCAGAGTTGGAGGTGAGTACTACAATAGCACTAGATTTCTGTCTGGAGGCATTTACAGGACCCCAGGGCAGGGGAGGGAAACCCAAGCAGAGCACAACATCTCAATAAACTGAGGAAACAGACAGCAGAGCTCCGGAGGCTAAGGCAGCTAGAATCTGCAGGGCCAAATACCAGAAAGAAGGTAGTTACACACTTTAGCGCTATTGCTCTTTGGGCCAGGCCAAGAAATCAGCCTAACAGCTGGGGGCAGGGAGCATTGTCTGGGACTGAACTTTTGGCCTGTGTGGCCAAGAGTTTGTTTTTATATAGGAAAAATGGGTAAACCAGAAAATACACAAAAGATAATTGAAGCCAGATAAAACGCTATAATAAACTGTATAGTATTAGATTAGAATTAGAAGTATTGGTGTAAATTCATGCTTTTTTAATATATAGAGAAACAGGTATAATCGTGTGTGCGTGTGTATACCCATATTCACATACGTGTGTGTGTGCAGGCACATAATTTATACAAATATTTCCTACCCCTTTCTCTGAGAGAGCCTCAAAGCTCAGTAGCAAGGAGCACACCTAGCTCAGTAGCAATGATCAACCTGATCTTTGTTCTAAACACCATTTCCACAAAAGGGAACCAGGGCTTCTTGGAGAAGTGACTGAACACAAGGCTGGGCCAGAAAAATAAAAGATAAACCCGGAACATCTTACATTTGAAACAACGTTCTCAAAAAGAATGATAGGGACATGTCAGAGACACAATGGCCAGCTTAAAGGGATTTCTTTCAAGGTTAAGTCTGGGGCAGTTTGAGCAACAAAATATATGATAATAATGATCAAAACCTTTTGAGTAAAATACAAATCCATGAGTCTATTTTGACATAAATGAGTAAGTGAACGAATGAATGGTAAAATAAAAGTTTCTAATTAACGTTGGAGGAATTACAAATTTTTTTTTTATATTACCATTTGGCACAGTAATAATTCAGTCAAGAATATCAATGAATGCTAAATCTGGTAGATACATGGGACAGTACAAAAGGTTGAAAACTAGTGACACTCATTATTGAATACAGAAAATAGCCATAATTATTAAACTATATTTTAAAACTAGTTCATGCTCAAGCCGATTCATCCCGATGTTGATAACTAACTCAGTAATTTTGTACAGACTGCTGCAGTGATTCACAGCTTTCTCCTGTAATGGGCTTACTTTCCTGCTTTGCTGAAATGCAAAGGTAGTATGCAAACATTATAAGTTGCCTGAACATCAAAAGACACATTTATTTTTTCTAGTGAAAAATCTTAAAAGGAAAACCGTCATTATGCCAACTCAATTTTATAGGGCAATTGATTAATTCAAACAAATACAATAAATACCAACATCCCTGTTTATCATAAGTAGAGACTTTCCAATTTATCCCTCTTCTCCCCAGGATAAATTTAAATTGTTCTTACCTAATTCATAGAGATGCCCATCTACGTGAACTAATGCAATAAAATGAAGATCTACTTTTTCATCTATGCTTGGCGCCTAGGAGGAAAAAATATTATACATGTCAGTAGTCACACAAATCAGTAAAGTACATATAAACACATATAAATAATATCAAATTACATAAAAGAGCACTGATCCAATCTAATATAAGGCTTAATCTTTGTGACAGTAGACGAAGAGTGACCAGGCCTATGTTTGTAACAATGTACTCATATGTCAACAAGGAAAACATTGATGAAAAGCACCTTTCTTTGTCTCAAGTGATCTAAAGACCAAAAGTCTTGTTCAGCTTGGAAGCCCCAGCACCCAGCACAATTCCTAGTACATAGTCAATGCACAATGCACACTTGTTGAATGAATGAATAAGCTGATTTGTATAATTTTTGAAATTTGAAATAACAAAATTTAATAAAACTTAGAAGTTAAAAAAAGTTAAAAGAACCTCTTCAGGTTAAAGTTTAAGACATCAAGATACTGAGTTGTTCCCTTAATGATCTGACCTTGAAAATTTCATGTCTTGAATAATGCAATATAAGCAGTCTTAGAGTAAAATAAGTATCTTTATTCATTTTAGATCCAAAATATTTAAAAATCAATAGATGCAGGAAAACAGCCCAAAAGATTAAAACGGGGGCGGGGGGAGATAACAAATAAAGTACAAGTAACTGTAACCTATGACTGTTCTCTTGCTTTCTTTGACTCTTAATGAAAATTTTAAAACTGAAACTATACCTAGCTTTTCTGAGCTTATCATATTCAATTTGCATGAACAGTATCTGCTGCATGCCTTAGATATTCAAATAACTTATACAAATCAACACGTGATTAACTGGCATTTCCTACGATATGCAGTAATACGGTTAACTATCAAATCTAAATGGTTTAAAATGAAATACAATCACTGTTAATGGCAACTAGGATATAAATTTTATAGGCAAAAGATTTAAAAATAGGCATAAATCAAGTTATATTTTATATTACTTAACATCCTTTAAGCACCATTAACAATATCGTAACTCTAAAAATGAAACTTTATTCACCCTCAAGTAATTATTTAATTTTAAGTACTTGTAACATGAAGCTTTCTGATGCAGAAATTGAAAGGTATATATAATAAATGCTACTATCTTGGGTTCGCAGAATGCTTCCTCCAAAACACTTACAGATAAAGTAACTCATCTAATCTCATATTATCCTTCAGAGATTATTTCCCTTCAAGTTATGCATAAAAAAACTCAGCATAAATCAATTTAGCAAACTCGTTCTTCCTAACTTCAACCTAGAACTAAAGAATTACAAAGTTGGAAAGCATCAAAGTTATCTAGTCTTACTATTGCTTCAATCCTGGGCTCCTCTGCTGCAGCCCCATCTTGTGGTAGCCCCTCCAAGGAGAGGGGACTGTCACTAGGTTTTGAAGCTATGAGACAGTTGCTATGAGTCGGAACTGACTTAACAGCAGCGGGTTTGGTTTTTTGGGTCTTACTCCATCTTTAGAAAGTTTTGTTAGAGAGTTCTCTCTCATACTGTGACTAAAACATGTCTGTACTTTCCATCATCTCAGAAAAAGTCTAATCCCTCTTTAAGTTGACATTCCTTCAAATACTTAAAGACCATGATAATTATCCAGAGGATTTTCTCTCCAGGTTCATCAGTGGTCAGAGATCATTCAATCCAATGCCCTCATTTTACCCATAACCAGAAGAGAATCCAATTTTTCAGGGCCAAATCTAGGCAATTCTACAAACTGGAAATTCAATTCTTTAACAAAAATGCTAGAAAAGAATTCCTTGTCCAAATATTTTACTCATTTTAAGAAAATTCTCCACCAGGATATCAAGCATTTTAAATCTTTTGAGCTGTTATGTTTTCATAAATTATTACTTCAACCCATATCTTCTTAAGAATTATACATCTTGTAGCTTCTATTTCTCATACTTTGCCAGTAAAGGCTGTGCTAGAAGTAAAATTAGTATAATTAGAATCAGAAAGTCTGAATATGTATCCTGATTCCTGTGAGCCTCTGGTTTCTTAGTTTTGAGGTTTATACGAGCTGTGTAATAGTACTCTATAGACTGTAAAGTGCTATATAAATATTATGCATTACAATATTAATATTACATGTAATATTTACACTAGATACAAACAGTTACATAAAGTGACTAAAAAATTATAAATCATTGTACTTTTTATTCAAAAGTGCACACGAAAAATATAAAACTCCAAAGAGGGTGTGAAAAGCCTTCAAACTATTATAAAAAGTCAGTGAAGCTCAAAACTTCTCAGACTTCCATAAAACCTCACTTCCTATTATGAGCCTTTTCCCTTGGTCAACTTCAATAAGTCTGACAGTCTAAAATCTGCAACTATCCAATTGTTTAATTATCTCCAAGAATAAAAGTGATATAAAAATCAATTAAATATAAATATAAATTATATGTCATAAAACAAAATACAGTTTAAATGTAATTTATAACTGCATGTTAATGATGGTGAAATAGTTTGGAAAAGGTTGTTGAGAAAGGTGGCACAACTTGAAGAACGTAACTAATGTCACTGAATTGTACATGTAGAAATTGTTAAAGTGGTATATGTCTTCTTGTGTATTTTTCACCAAAAAAAAGAAAAAAGAAAAATAATTGTAATTGCATGGTACTTACTATATACCAGGCACTATTCTAAGTGCTTTGGGGCCCTGGTGGAGTGGTTAAGAGTTTGGCTGCTAACCAAAAAGGTCAGCAGTTCGAATCTACCAGTGGCTCTTTGGAAACCCTTTGGGGCAGTTGTACTCTGTCCTATCAGATTGCTATGAGTTGGTCAGAATCGACTCTATGGGTATGAGTATTCTAAGAGCTTTATGTGCACTGACCAATTCATCCTCATCTAAACCCTATAAGGTAGATAATATGGTTGTACTCATTTTACTCTCAAGAAAACTGAGGGACAGAGTCATTAAGTCACATGCTCTAGGTCACACAGCTATTAAGTGATGGAATCTGGATTCAAACCAGGCAGTATGGTTCTGGAATCCATGTTCTTAACCACTATGTTATGAAAATATTTATGAAGCTACAAAACAATAGAATTAATATGCATCAAAGGTGAGTATTATACAAAAACATGTAAAACTAGAAATGCCAAATTTTATAACATGTTTTCTTATATTTAGAATATTCTTGGAGGACAAAGGAATTTATCCATCTTTAGAATTTACTCAATTGTGACCAGGTCAAAATTTTCAAAATTGGGGTTTTATTCCAATCATCTAATTCACCTTGTATCTTTCACCGTGCCAAACAGTTTACAGCACAGTAGGGAAGTAATAAATATCAAAGGGACGAATGGATAAAAAACGAAAACTACGGGCTGTGACCCAGAATGAAGGTAATGAAATAGAGGCAGAGAGGTACCAATCTGTTGATACTCAGCACAGATGGAAGGCTATTTTGATGACCATACTGATATTTGGTAAAAGCAAAAAAGTAAAAGTGCCAAGACCCCACTTCATAGTTTGAGCATCGCTCTAGAAGGGGAAATAAGGGGAAGGAAACAATGTTTGACACAGACCTTTAATTTTTAATAAAACATTAGCTGTATGTGTTATCAGATATTCTCTGGCTTCAAAAGTCATGATGATTTATGGAAATGTCAAGTTTCTTATAAGAGTACACAGTACACACCAAAGCTTTCAGATATATTAGCATTTCTACGTAGGCTTTGCCAAACCCCAGTCGTTGCCTTTAACATTCCAAAGCATCAGAACAACAGCTGTGCTCGCTTAATTCTGCAATTCATTTCAATTTGTGAAAATTATTAGAATTCCGTCATCAGCCTCAACATCTAAGATAATTAGCAAGATTATAAAAACAAGTATACTTTTTAGTAGTTTGCTGATATTATTAATCTAAGGAAGAGGAATCATAAAATTTGTTAGAAGCTTAGAGCAATTTACAAGAAGGAAATCTTCACCTCCTACTTGGAAAAGATCTTTAGAAACTGAATAGGCAGGGAAGATCAGATCAAGATTAAACCAAGTACCTGAGCCACCTCAGGGAATAAAATAGATGAAACACCCTACACCACGAAGGATTTAGATTGAGGATAGAGAAAGTAAAGTGACCCAGAGCATGGCAAAAGACTAAAGTCATGCTCAGAAACATGAGAAAAATAAAGTAAGAGATGGGAAAGAACTCAGAAGAAACGTAGCATTTGTTGAACCAAGTCAACTAAATAAAATCGGAAGATGAAGTGTAAGAGAATACACATTCACTTTAACAACTGACAGAAACGTAAAAGTCATGTATGGTGATCAGTACTCTTCAAAAGGCAGGCACCCTTATGTTGGCAGGATATGAAGTGGAAAGATGGATGTTCAAGGCATCGGTGAAAATCAAGCTAGACCGCAAAGCATAGAGGCATGCTTGCAATCTTACTGGAGAGAAAAAGCTAATGGTTGAGTGAACCAAGAGAAAAGTACGTTGAAGACTGAAGAAGTTTAAGGGGATAAATGGATTGCCCTTGTCACTGGAAGAAGAGATGGAAGATTGACTACACTTACAACAGAATGGAGACCCAAAGATGGTAGGCGTAAGAAGGGCCGCCAGCGACGAAGACGAAGAGATGGACTGGCAGCCTTTGCAGGGCCTACATGGTTACGTTTGACCCAGGCCAGGGATGCATGGTGACACAATGATGAGGCCTTCGTTCTGCAGTGGCTAGAATGAGGCTGTGATGAGGATGGCGAGGAGGACTACATAATTAAAAAAGAGAACATTTTACTTAGACCACTTTATTGGGTGATCAGTTATTCTTAAAAGCAATGTATGGTCATATGTGTATTCATATGGTCCAGTATTTTTAATCAGCCATAGTCTAGCAAAGGATTGTATATGAACATTGGCTAAAAGGGGGTAAAGTGGAAATATATGCCCAAGGTATGAGGTTATATGCCATAGTTTCTGTAAGGGCACATCTGAAATATATACATATCCTCATTTGCATAGCAAGCTTACGGAATTAAATGTTTAAAAGGCACTAAA